TTGAGAGTTTCGTTCTTTTCTGCTTTCTTAGACGATTTTTTATCAGATTTCTTCTTTTCCGAACAAAACTGAACGGATCTATCAAAAGCGTTTATCTGACGAGAATCGGATTGTGAACCAAGATTATCTAATGATACCCAACGTCTTGGAAGGTTAGAAGAATTTTTTTCGAAAATTTTTTTAGGAATTTGCATTTTCGGAGAATTGTGATCATCGCTACCAGACGAGTTCTGTCTCTTCAATAGTGTAGGCTTGTTCTTAGTTTTCATGTTCTTATTAGAGATTTTCTTGCCTGCTATCTCGATTTTTGGTTTCACAGGCTGAACCGTTAATGGAGATGGCGGAGTTGGTGCAGATTTCGTTAAAACGTCAGAGTAAGATGGTCGCATAGGCTTCACTTCAGCCACCATTCTTGGTTTCTTGTATTGAGAGTCCGATATATTTCTAGAAGGTAAATCTTCGCTTTCTCTTACATCTCGTACAGCTTGTGGTACAGGTGTGATATTGGGAGATCCTCCAAATGGACTGTAAGTACCAGATTGATTTGGCACCCAATTTTCAACTAGATTGTCGATTAGCTGTTTTCCATTAAAATTTTGACTTGGCAACTCAGATGGTACAGTTATATGTTGATCATTGAAAAGCCCATACTCCTGATTGACGATACTTTGATTAGAGTAGGATGTCATATTTGAAAGACGACATTGCTCAGCCATAATTTGAGAAGCATTTCCATAAATAACATTAATATAGTTACCACCTCCGACATCAATGGTACCAATTAAATCATTATTCTCATTAATGCCTAGGTGATTTACTGTTGTTTGTGATGGAAAATATATTGAATCAGTGGTTGTAGTATCGTAACTGGACATATCTTGCATATACAGAGATGTGGTCATTGGTGTCATAGGTTGTATTCCAGAATTAGAATGTGTTGGTTGACTGGTAACGTGATGTCTAGTTTGTCCAGGTACATAATCTCCCCAATTACGAGAAGTGGTTTGTTGTGAAGGAACACTAAATTGGGCATAATGACCATTAGAACCTTCCAAATCTGGAGTCATAGCTTCAATAATTTTATCCAAAGACATGTGTTTGAAACTGGGAGAGGTTTGTTGTTGTTCTGCCATATTGATTTACCTCTCTAAAGACAAAATGAGTATATTATTCAAATGTTACAATGTCATTTACAAGTATTGAAACTTTAATAAAGCGACAAAGACTAGGAAGTTATATTTCATTGAAATTTTTACATTTCTAAGTGATGAATATGTTTATTAATGAATAACAAAATCTGACAATTTAGGAATATCATACAGAAACATATGATAGATTTTATGATATTAATAATAATTTGCATGCTCTTGTTTCTTTACAAATATCATGTTTCTTTTCTAAATGTATGATGACGTACAATGTCAACTGAAATTGGAAGATATAAATACGTTTTCTAAAAAAAATGTCTATATATATATGTACATATATATACTCACATAACCATAGTAATGCGTTGAGAACGTTAAATATCCACTAATGTACAAGTTAGGGATATTCGATAGCGCGAGCACAGCTATTATGCATCGCTGAGATAAGTTCGTATTAAATAATCATTGTCGAGAGAGCAATTCAGCTTAAATAAATGTTATAACCTAAAACGAATCGAATGTTAGCAGACGTCGGTACGGTCGGTACAGTACTCACATTCATCAATAGATACACTTTTTCACAACGGTTGCTTATAGTCACAGTTCAGCATATTTTGCATTAATAGTAAAAAAAAACCTGTATTTATACGAAATACACGATTTTACGTTATATACCATGCGGTAAACGTAAAATCGAGCATCGTATTCGTGTCCGGACCAGTTCGGACGAGACTAATCAGTGATACCAGACGGAGAGATTTTTGGAGATTTTTTCCCTCCACTTCATTGTCTCTATCGCACGCGCAGTAATATCCATGGTATAAGAATGTTAAGGTGCTATTACATAGGAGCGTCGAACATTTGATCGACGCTCGACGCTGCCATGTAAAAGTACCTAAAGGGCTGTATTCGGAAATATCACCTGGGTACTCCCGTGTATTAATCCGGATCTATGGCTGCGTTCAGCAGAACGTTTGTTTTGCAACTGTTGGAAGTTTCCTTCGCGCTAATTGGATCATACTTTTAGATCTAGAAGAATGGTCCTATCTCAGCAGACAATCATAAAACGGTTGCAAAACTGTTGAGTCTGCTGAACGCAGCCAGTAATAGATGTTTTAAGCTTGAAGCCGTAAGAAATTGACCAATTACAGTCGAATTCAAGGGGAATGATCGATTATGATTCGTCCATTTCTTATGGCTTAAGGCTTAAAACTCTATTGTAGATCCGGGGTTAAGTCCGATCTACAAATTTTAAGCCTTAAGTTGTAAGAATTTGACCAATTACAGTCGAATTCGAGGAGAATAATCGACTATGATTCGTCCATTTCTTATGGCTTAAGGCTTAAAACTCTATTGTAGATCCGGACTTACCCCGGATCTACAATAGGTGTTTTAAGCCTTAAGTCGTAAAAAACTGATCAATTACAGTCGAATTCGAAGAGAAGAATAATCGACTATGATTCGTCCATTTCTTATGGCTTAAGGCTTAAAACCCTATTGTAGATCCGGGATTAGAGTACCTATAATAAAAGTACGGCCAACAGGGTAACGATCGATGATTGGTCCACCAAATTGAGGCAAAAGCGGAAGTTACATGCCCATGTATACTCTATCTGTGTGTACCATTTATATGTACACTATTTACACTGTTTCGTATGGTTTGGACTTTCTGATTTCGAACAAATTATTTATGTAAAAGATAAGCGGCTCGTTTGCTGGCATTTAATCGAGGCATTTTAAGAGAGTGCCATTTATAATAAATTAAGAAGAAGAAGAGGTAAATGGCAAAAATTACATTGTAATTATATATTCTTTTAATGAGATAAAAACGTGATTTTCTTGTGTAGTTATAACTTAATCTAATTGTTTGTTGATACATTATAGCTATCAATGCCATTTATATTTATCTCTGTTTTGTTCCCCTCCTATAATTTAGACATTATAAAATCATTGTTATATGTACAATATCAGTTTTACACTTCCGAGCGCACTTGAAAATGCGCGCGCTTTTTGATGCGTTTCCGGTTTTGCATCATTCACGCTCTGTTGACCGTACTCTTATTATAGGTACTCTACTGTGTATTATCTTATCTTTATTTAACATTGGATGAACACAAGGATAAAATGATACATGGGGGCACTCAGATGATGTTTCCGAACGCAGCCAAGGTATTCCATTCTCGAGGATGCGCAGTTGTTTAGAACATGGCGACTGCTTTTGACCAATCAATATATTATTCTAAATTGTAAAAATATGATTAACGTGGACTGCGTTCCGTTTGAACGAATGATATTCGTCAATTTTGACCACGTAATCCTTTTTGTCACTGAAACAGCCGGTTTTAGCAACTCGTGAAATTGTACCTTTAAGGAAAATTTTCACGAGCTACTTAAACAAGCTGTTTCAGCGACAAAAGGGTCACATGGTCAAAATTAACGAATATCAAGCATCCATTTTGATCACGTGACTCTTTTTGTCACTGGCTGTATTCCAAATTTACTGTCAGCACTGAAAATGCGATAGTTTACATTACGTGCACTATAGATTTTCAGTACAGGCAATCAATTTTGGAACATAGCCATTGAAACAGCCGGTTTGAGCAGCTCGTGAAATTGTACCTTAAAGGTGCCTTTTCATGATGACGCTTGACGCTCATTTTTAGCGTCAAAATAGGTCATGTGATCAAAATTGGCGCTTGATATTCATCAATTTCTATTGCTGGATTCACACTGCATCCGATTTTCGTCGTACGATGCTCTGCATCCAATCAGAAAACAGGATTCCGATAATACGAAGCAAAATTCATCGGAATCCTGTTTTCTGATTGGTTGCAGAGCGTTATACGACGAAAATCGGATGCAGTGTGAATTCAGCAATAGAATTATTGGCTAATATAGCGTGACTTATTTTGAGTCCGAAAATGAGCGTCGAGCATTAGCATAAAAGGTACCTTTATGCACATTATGCATGAAACGGAACGCAGCCATTGTCAATTTTAGAATGAAATCATCCAGTGCGGACATTGAAACTACGGTCCACTTGATGCTACAAATGCTTCGAAGAATTTTTTGATTGATCAATTAGTAAAATTCTTTCTTCTGATTGGTCAATCAAAAGCTTCAAAGCATTTGTAGCATCAAGCGGACCCTATAACAACCAATCAGCGCTATTATAGAGTTGATTGCTTCAGGCTGCGGTCCACTTGACGCTACAAATGCTTCAAAGCGTTTGAGCGACCAATCAGAACAAAGAATTTTATGAATTGACTAATCAAAGAATGCTTCGAAACGTTTTTAGCGTCAAGTAGACCATAGCCTCAATACTCTAGTTTCCACCGAAGGTTCGAACCGGGTCAGAATGCAAGAACCAACCAACTACAGTCGAGCATTCCCCTGTAATTCGACTGTAAAGGAGCCTACAGACCAGAGCGGCGTAGCGGTGAGCGGCGAGCGGTAGCCCAATAAAAGCCATGCTTCACTAATGATGTCACGCAAAAGCGTGGCTCTCATTGGGCTACCGCTCGTCGCTCACCGCTGACAGAGAAAGCAGCTTTGCAACTGTTGTAAAATTCTTCAATACGATTGGTTCTTGCTTTTGGTTCCTGACAGATCTAAATGTATAAACCAATCATATTGAAGAATTTTACAACAGTTGCAAAGCTGCTTTCTCTGCTGAACGCAGCCAATGACGCATTCTCTTTCCGCAGTCTTTTTCCGCACCGTCTGATTTCATCCTCAGCTTCAGCGGCTCGTGAAAATACACCTTTAATCGCTTAATGTATATACTTCGATTTACTGCAACCGCATGGCGATTAATATTAATTGTTTTCTTTTTAGGCTACAGTTGTAATGGTTGTAACCTTGTAATGTTGTATCGAACCTCTTTATAATATTTACAATGAGTACGATAAAACAAGAGACACATCGACCAGGTGCGTTTAAACAATCTAATAAACAGCACAAAACTGGAAGACATCGCAGTAAAAGTGCCATCAATAATGATTTCAAAGGTAAATTTTCTGTACATGTAATAGTGACAAATTTTGTAACAGAAAATTATGTTTTATTCAATTAATAAATCTTTTTTTATGAATGTAATAATACATTCTATGTACCAATATTTAAAACGGGCTTTTATAGAATGTTTTGTTTGATTTTTAAAAGAATGTTTTATTTTTTTTTTCCTAGGTAAACGAAGTATTATCGGAAAGATGTCTAAACGTTTTGAGAAAAATCTTCGGAAGGATGCACGTAGAAATCAATTGTTGCAACACAGAAAAAAGAAACGCGAACAAGTAATGGCACAAAAAAGAAATCTCGGTGGCTTTTCTTCAGCACCTATCCTTATCTGTGTTATACCATTGCAAAATAACACAGATATAAAGAACATTATATCTATTGTAACTGATATGGATGAAACTGCTAATGTTGCTACTAGTTCAAATGGAATAACTCATATTAGGTATACTATGGATGAAGGAACTTATTTTCTGTATTATTAAATAAATTAAAAATTTGATATTTATTAATCTTTTAAATTTATATTTGTATTTATTTAGTATACCAAGGCTGAAACAGAGATTTTCTATTATTGTACCACCAATAGATGACATTTTAGCAACATTAGATGCAGCCAAAGTTGCTACCACAATACTCTTTGTAACTTCTGTTGCAAATCAAGGAAATGATGATAAGCAAGAACAAATTATAGATGATTGGGGCAAGGAAATTATTACATCTTGTCTTGCTCAAGGTTTACCTTCTACCATAGTTGCAGTGCACAATATTCAAAGGCTTCATATTAAAGTAAGCAATAATACAAAAATCTTTGAAAAGAATATAAATTAATTCTATTGCAAAAATATTGTAAACCCTATGTTGCATGTGTCAAACATGTTACTTATCAATTATTGTTTGAATTTTAAATGATATTATAGAAACGTCAGGAATATAAACAATCTGTGCAACGTGCAATTTCAAAATGGCTTCCCTCAGAAAAAGTATTTGAATTAGATACCACAATTGATTGCTTAAATATGTTACGCCATGCTGGATTACAAAAGCAAAGAAGTTTATTTTATAAAGACATAAGGCCATATCTTTTGGCTGAAGAAGTCTCCTTTGAATGTGATGGAGTATGTAAAATTCATATTTATAAAATTGTGTAAAAAGTAAATTGAATACCATTTAATTGTCATATAATTATTATCTCGACAGGATTCTCTTGATTTTGGAACTCTCATGGTCAGTGGATATTTACGAGGCACAACACCATTATCTGTCAATGGTTTGGTTTATATATCAGGTTTTGGAAACTTTCAAATGTCTTGCATCAAAACGTTGAAGGATCCATATTTAATTGAACATGAGCAGAAGAGACATCTTTCTGATAATAAAATGGAATGGGGAAATGAAACTGAGATCTTAACTGCAGATCCAGAAAAGCAGGTTTGTTATACATATTTTAATATTAATGATTTGTATCTTTTGAACTAAAGATCGCTAGGAAAAATTTTCTCAAACAAGTATTGTTAGTGCTCTTACTAATTTTTTTATATTAAAAGTGAACATTATCTATATATTAACAGTATCTATATTAACAGCAAGAGAGACAGAGAAAGTAAAAAATTATCGGGAAGCATAGACATTTGTAAAGACATGTCCAAATTATTTATAATAATTTATATGTGATTTATTTGTGCTAATATATCCGTATGTGACTTTGATAGCAATAATAATAATGTCAGTACATGCAGTTTAAAATATTAAAATTTGTAGGAATCTCTTGAGAGCGAATATATTCCTGATCCAATGGATGCTGAACAAACATGGCCTACGAAAGAAGAATTAGCTGAAGCAGCAAACAATAGAAAGAGAAAAATTGTAAAGGTTGTGCCAAAAGGAACCTCTGAATATCAAGCTGCATGGATACCAGATGAAGATGGAGGTTACATATTTTACTTCTTTTTTTTCCTCCTAAGAAATTTAATCCTACTTCAAAAATATAATATGTTGTTCCTTTGTGTAGAAAGCCCGGGTGTATGCTCAGAAAATGAATCAGAAGACAACATGGATATGGAAGAGGCAAAATCTGAAGCAGCTAGTAGTGAAGATATGGAAGATGACGAACAATATGAAATTATTACGATATCGGAAGCACTGGATGAGGAACGTTACAATCAAGATATCGATATAAATGAAGAAAAGCAAGCCATGGAAAACTTCAAAGGTCACTATAATTATATGTATCATCATACATAATGTATTATATTTCATTATCGTTTTAGTAATATTTTAATAAAATACAGAAGCAAAATTGGACGCACAATTTCCCGATGAAGTGGATACACCTCAGGACACCTTGGCTAAAATAAGATTCCAAAAATATCGAGGTCTTGAATCGTTCCGCACTAGTCCGTGGGATCCAAAGGAAAATCTTCCTATTGATTATTCTCGGATAATTGAATTCGCCGATTATGATCGTAGACGAAAACGTATTTACAAAGAATGTAAAGATATCGAAGGAGTCATGGTATATATTGACAATTATCTTTTTTCAGTATTAATCTTGCATTAAATATTTATCACTTGCAGTTTGTGTGTGTGTGTGTGTGTGTGTGTGTGTGTGTGTGTGTGTGTGTATTTTTTTATATGTGTACGTTATATATATATATATATATATACACCACTACGTTTCATTTGACTGTCATTAGGCCTGTTCTTTTTGGCTGAACTTTTGCACCAGTTCATCTTTCTTTTTCTTCTTTCCTCCTGAAGAGAAAAGGAAGAAAGATGAACTGGTGCAAATGTTCAGCCAAAAAGAACAGGCCTATTATATATATGTATATATGGTACGATTCGTTAACTTTAAATGTTTATAAATCAAAAATTATTATAGTCTTGACATTTTGGTACTCGGATTTTTGTCTCAAAATGATCTCAGGAATCTGCCCTTAAACATTGCTACATTTTTACTGGACACTACGTATATATGTATGTATAATGTATAATATATATATGTATGTTTTCAGCCAGGATGTTACATACAAATTTGTATCGCTCATGTTAGCAGAGAAACTTTCAAGGCATTCGCTGTAATAGAAAATAAACCATTAATAGTGGTTGCTTTACTTCCATATGAACATAAAATGTCTCTTTTAAACGTCGTGTTGAAACATACGAGCAATTACACGCATCCAATCAAGTCAAAGGAAAGATTAATATTTCAATGCGGATTTAGACGATTTACGACATGTCCAATATTCAGCCAACATACGAATGGTACTAAGCACAAGGTAAGTCGATGCGCTTTTATTTTGTATTTGAAACATTTATAGTGTAAAGAAACATAACATTACTTCGTTTACAAATTTATATTTTATCATGATAAATATGTTTAGTACGAGAGATACTTTCATCCTGAAACTACAGTCGTGGCGAGTATGTACGCACCTGTTACTTTTTCACCATGTCCAATTCTTTGTTATGCCGAGAGTAAAAGTGGCAAACTTGTATGTATATTTTTTTACAGTGTTATTGGTATTGTATTATAGAGTTATACACTATATGAGAATGAAATATAATGTGCTATCAAGTTCAAAGGACATTGTCATTTTAGGAATTAATTGCAACTGGTAGCGTGTTATCTTGTGATCCCAACAGAATTGTCTTAAAACGAGTAGTTTTGAGTGGTCATCCATATAAAGTAAATAAAAGATCAGTGGTTACACGTTTTATGTTCTTTCACCGAGAGGATATCGAATGGTTCAAGCCGATCCAATTGAGGACAAAATATGGACGTAGAGGCCACATAAAGGAACCTCTTGGTAAATAGTTGATTAATAATTGATTACCAAGTGATTGCATCTTACTTATACTATTTGCTGTATTTATATAATACAAATCTTATTAATTAATATACATACTCCTGATTTTGTTGTAGGTACACATGGACACATGAAGTGTATTTTCAATGGTCAACTAAAGTCTCAAGATACAGTGTTGATGAATTTGTATAAACGAGTTTTTCCAAAATGGACTTATGAACTTATGAACCAATAAAAATAAAAATTATTTGGTCTTGTTAATCTTTGAAATATCTATAAATTTATTCTACATTCTGTTAGCGAAAAAATGTAAATTTATAAAACGATTTTAAGAGGTTTTAAGAGGATGTACAAACATTAAGAACATCATTTCTTTACGCTAGTATTTTACCAGTTTAAAATAAAGCGACTAATGTCGTCAGTTGTGTTCTAGTGTGTTCTGCGTATTTGAAAACTGCTTAGAAAAATGGCGTTCGCTTCGCCGAATATCGCTGAATAGTGAGCATGCGCTACTCGCGCGTGAGCCGCGTCCTCAATCTGGTAACACTGCGCCCTTCCACCTCCACCTTTCGACCATCAGTGTTCATAACAATGATCGTGCCGGTTGTATTTTAGGTTAAATCACTCGTGTGATCTTTCTATCCTAATAGTTTATAAACTCTCTAGCGGAGTAAAAATGGACAATAAAATAACGATATGCGATCCTGACGAGGAGGAAGTAGAAAATGATATATTGCGTGATATCGAACCGGTCATGTGGATCAATGATGATCCAAACTATGATTTGGACGAGGTTAACATGTTTTTTCACAGAGTCGATTCGGATCAAATTATATACGAAGAAAAAAGAAAAAAATGTAAATTTATCGGTAAATATGTCATGGGTGATGTTCTCGGTGAAGGTAGTTATGGGAAAGTGAAAGAGGTATTGGATTCGCAGACGCTTTGTCGTAGAGCGGTCAAAATACTGAAGAAAAGGAAACTTCGAAGGATACCGAATGGGGAACAGAACGTTCAACGGTGTGTACGACAAATGTATTTTTTATGAATGCTGTTATATCGGTATGCGCGTTATACCGTGGATAAATTTTTTATCGCGTACAAATGTCGAAAAGATAGCTTTTTTGTTGCGATATCTTTCCTTGCATTTCTTGTGTTTATTTTAATAATAATTGATATTTTACAGGGAAATAAAATTGTTAAGAATATTAAAACATAAAAATGTAATAAATCTCGTAGACGTTTTATACAGTGACGAAAAAGAAAAGATGTATCTAGTTATGGAATTTTGTGTATGTGGATTACAGGTAAATTTCCATAGGAGTATTGTTTTTTATTCTAAATTATTAGATACACAACGCAAGTATGGATATATATTTTATATGAGTTATAAAATTCAGGAGCTAATATTGATTTAACATTTCTATAAAATGATTGTTTATTTTACTTTAGTTATCAGTATCGGAAGAAACATGGATTTATTTCAGGTTACACATTGTATCTTTTTGCTGTATGCTTTTGTGTTGTCTCATCCCATGAATCTTGAGTTTTAATTATTATTTTTAATGATAGGGAACTTAAAAAAACATTATAAATTGTATGTGCTCCTATATTTTTTTATCACTATTTTTGATTAAGATTATTTTATACTTTTTATATTTGATTTGTATAATTATATGCAAATATCTCGAAAGAAAATTATACTTTGTACAACATAATACATACAAAAAGCTGCTTAATTTTATATTGAATTGTATTCATTTTATATTGATTTTGTAAAAATTGAATGAATGTTGTATGATTTGAATGATACAATGCTAGACACTAATACTAACGATTGTAATTAATTAATTAAAGATATATTTTATGTTTTTATCTCGAATAGTATGTCTTAAAACCAATCAAATTGCAAGCGAATAATTTACGATAATATCCAAGTTTTTATTATTTTTATTATAAATATTTTGCTTAATATATATAACAATTGTGCTGTTACGAAAAATACAATGAAATTTTAACGAGAAGAAGGAAAATTGTATAAAACTTTAAACCGCATTAAACTTTTCGATCTTGACATCTGTAACAATGGCTTGCATGAATTAACAACAATTAGATTTCTATTTATTAGATTATTTACAGGATATGTTGGAAAGCACGCCTACCAAGAAGCTTCCACTTTGGCAGGCACATGATTACTTCTGTCAATTGTTGGATGGTTTAGAATATCTTTACAGTAAGGGAATAGTCCACAAAGATATTAAACCTGGAAATTTGTTATTAACCCTAGATGGTACTTTGAAGATTAGTGATTTTGGTGTTGCAGAGGTACAAGCTCCACATCTTTCAACTCTTTATTTTATTCAAATTTTTTATTAATTTAATTATAAAAACCGATAGTTATAATAATGAAAAGAGTATTGATGAACAGAGTATATTTATTTAGAAAATGTTACAAATACGAATACAAACATACATTATAACTGTGCGTGTTTCATTCCTACTTGTAATTATGCATCTCCATTGTACTAGGCATTAGACATGTTTTCCAAAGACGATACATGTACGATAGGTCAAGGATCTCCAGCATTTCAACCACCAGAAATTGCAAATGGCTGCGAAAGTTTCTCAGGTTTTAAAGTAGACATATGGAGTAGTGGAGTTACATTGTAAGTAAGGCTTGTACACGGCGTTATCCAAAGATCAGAATGGTATATCTATATGTTACAGGTATAATATAACTACGGGTTTATATCCTTTTGAGGGAGATAACATATATAAATTATATGAAAACATTGGAAGGGGTGAATATACTGTACCGAAAGAAGTAGAGGAGCCTTTAAAATCGCTCATAGAAGGAATGTTGCAGAAAGATGCGGATAAGAGATTTACATTACAACAGGTAAAAAGACACGCGTGGACTATGTGCGAGCACCCTAAAACACAACAACAAGTACCTATACCTCCCCTTAAAAGCAATGGCTGCCACAGTATGACTGTCTTGCCATACTTAATGGAGTATCATTATGGAGTCGATGAAAATCCCATATACTATACGGAACATCAGCTGAATGGTAGGTTTATTACGTTTGCCGATACAATGAATATTTTTCCTTCTTTTCGAAAATAAGCTCGATTAAGAAACTTCTCCAGTGACGGCAACGATGCAAAATTTCAGCATGGTTGAACCGTCTTTTTATGAAACAGAGAATTTCATGAAAATTTTCTTTTTTTTTTTAGAAGAGCGAAGACTTCAAGAATTGGATCGCATTAGCGAGGATCGAAAAACCACATGTAACAGTCATCACACCAAATGCAATACAAACAGTCAAAACAAACGGAGATGGCGTAAGCCGATTTCATGCATTAGTATTAAAAGATTTCCATCCTGCAAGCCATCGTGATTTTGTTAATTGTGTTGCATATTTTGTTGTTTGTATCTCACTGACTGTGTCAGTTACAAAGTTTCTCTGATGGAGATGACTGAAAGCTTAAAGAATGAAAAGCGTGCAAGACACATATGTAATGTAGCTAATCTAGCAGCGTGAATGGGACACAAAGCATTTGACAGAGTCAGTTCAAAAGTGTCGGATGTAAAGATTGTGATATTAAGATTAAATCGTGTAGCGAATAATTCAGTGACATCTTTATTGATCGTTCAATGCCTAGGAGATGCCCAATCAAAGTCACATTCATTTTGGTGCCATATTGACAACGCGATTAATAAAGTTATTAATCGTCTGTGTTTAGCATTTTATTTATCGTAAAATCTCCAATTGTACCTTTGTCTTTAGTAAGGCCTAGTAAATCTAACGTTTATGAGGCCAACTGGACACGATCGAACGTATGTATATATGTATAAATGTATGCTGTTTCGACTTGTCGTTCCATCTAAGAACATTATATTAGGAAAATACAATTGAGTTAATTAATTATTGAAGCGATAGCACAAGTAATTCTTTTAAAACATTAATTTAATTTTCATTCGTTGAAAATATCTACATGTAAATATCTACTTTTATTTTACAGATACCACCTACGAGACGGTCAGTCTTACATAAGTTCGCATTACTGTTAAAATTTAAGTGATTAAAAGTAAGAAACTGATAATAAAGTACTAATTTTATGATTTATTAATTTCGTAGATATGTATATATATTTAAAACTCAATATATAATACTCGATCTTTATTTAAAGCTATGATTTTAATGTTATCGTCCGAGTTTGATTATCAATAGAGATAATAATTGCAGAGAAAACAATTATAATTTTGTGGCAATATACAGTACTGGACAAAATAAAGTACGCACTCCAACATTTTCACATTTATGTAAATAACTTGCCAGTCCTGGCAGATAGCATAATGATGAATGAGGTAAAAGAAAGGTATTTTAGTCTACTTTGCAATAATGATTACAAAAATTTCAAAAACAATACGAAATCCTTTAATAGTCAAGACCGTTACATTTATTATCAAATTTATCATGGACAAAATAAAGTACGCAAGTGAAAAAAAAGTGTAATAAAGACAAAGTTTATAATTAATATTTTGTATGACCACCTTTTGCTTGTATGACGGCTTGCAAACGTCGAGGCATACTTTCGACAAGGTTTTGGATGTGTTGCTGACCGATATTTTTCCATGCTTTTATCAATGCTTCCAACAACTTAATTTTATTCGTTACTTCCCCTTTATCAAGCTTCAGGTTCAAAATCGACCACAAATTTTCAATCGGATTCAGATCTGGCGATTGCGCTGGCCAATCAAGCAGTTTGATCCCAGAAGTACGAAAAAAAGCGGTAGTTTTACGAACGGTATGTTTGGGATCGTTATCTTGTTGAAAAATGAAGTTGTTCTCGAGACCAACCTTTAGCAGAGACTCTTCTAAATTTTCATTGAGAATATCAATGTATACATCTGCTGTCATTATACCGTCAATTTTGATTAGATTTCCCAAACCAGACCACGCAAAACATCCCCACATTGTTATGCTGCCTCCTCCATGTTTGAGTGATTTTTGGATATTTTTGTCAATAAGTTTTTCGTTAGGCTTTGACCAGACCCGTGGTCGCTGTTTATGACCGAAAAGTTCAAATTTGCTTTCGTCACTCCAAAGGACCTTTTTCCAGAAATCCACTGACTTGTTAACGTATTTTTCTGCAAATTCCAGACGTTTGATTTTATTGACCTTCCGAATCAAAGGACGACGCACTGCAAAACTGTTTCTAAGTCCAACT